GAGAAGAGAGGAGATGATGGGGAGGGGTAGACACTTTCAGTTTGATATGAAAGACATTAAGGGAGGAACTGGCCAGAGGGGGTGGTGGGGATAACAGCTACCATTTACTGAGCATTTACTGTGTGCCTGAAACCATCCTAAATTCTTTACATTGATTTTCTTTTTTTTTTTTTTTTTTTAAGATTTTACTTATTTATTTGACAGAGAGAGACACAACGAGAGACGGAACACAAGCAGCGGGAGTGGGAGAGGGAGAAACAGGCTTCCCGCAGATCATGGAGCCCGATGCGGGGCTCAATCCCAGGACCCTGGAATCATGACCTGAGCTGAAGGCAGACGCTTAACGACTGAGCCACCCAGGCGCCCCTACATTGATTTTCTGATTTAATCTGTACAACTACCCAATGAAGTATGTACTGATATTGTGCCCATTTCACAGATGGGCACACTGAGGCACAGAGAGGGGAAGTCCTTTCCTCAAGGTCACACAGCTGGAAAGTGGTGAAGCCAGGGCTGAAGCCCACAGTCTGCACCCAGCGTCCTCCCTCTTCCCCACCACACACCTCGCCTCTCAGAGTGATGCAGAGGTACGGCAGGTGAGCAGGTTAAAGGGAGTCAGCTTGCCAAAGGAAGGCCTGTAGAGACAGAATGGAGTACGAAGGGGGATGTGAACATTCTTCCGAAGGAAGGAGAAACGGGAAGACGATGTTACCACCTTCCAAGGAGCTCAGCACTCCCAAAGGAGAGGCTGTCACAAAGGTGAAAAAGGTTGGATATCACAAAGGTTGGAATATGATGGCTGACAAAAAGCTCGCTGGCCTTGGCACTGGGCTTCTTGGTGGGGTAGCCCGTGGAGGGAAAGAACCCAGGGGAATGGGAGGATGTGGTGCTAGAGAAAAGGGTTTCCAGAAGCTTGGCCATGAGAACAGGAGACAGGCCGCCAGCCCAAGGCAGAAGGCAGGATTCCGGCAAGAACGTGCTGCAGGACAGGGAAGCTGCAAGTACACGCGTAAGCCAGCAGAGCGGGCAGATGGGAGAGGTGACCAATGAGGCAGTGCGGCCAAGGAGGCAGGAGACAGTCCGAGACAGCTTTCACCTTCATCCCCATGCTTGGAAGAAAGAGCCAATTTGCATTAATCCAGGAGCCTCTCCCGAGCCCTTATGCATTCCCAAGGACTTCATCTGGAAGCTGGTTCCTGACTGGCCCAGAATTACCCAAGGAGCTGACCTAGGGGACACCAAGATGGTGGGATGGGAAAAAAAAAATTTTAAAACCCCATAGCATTCTAGAGTCAAGGAATTTTAGGAATCTGTGCCTGAATAAAATTAAACTGGCTTCTTTAATGCCTCAACTTCTTGGATCCTTTTAAGCTAATGGACAACCTTAAACTCCAAGAAGAGGTTCAAGAATTCTGAGTTTCTGGTCTCGGGAGCCACGGATCTCTTCGTGTCCTAGAGCATCGGGCAAACGTCTTGTTTCCCAGATCGCACCCTGGGAAATGCTGTTCTCGTGTCTCAGGAAACGAGGGTCAATCCCATAGCATGGGAAACATTCCCATTTGTTTTTGCCCATCCTTGCTCAAAGTAAAGTAAGGGTAAAATTACTCCAGTAAAATCTGTGGGTTTACCCCTCCTCTGTGGCACATTCTAACAGCATATTTACCCTTGTTCTGGAGGCTCACAGCACATAACCAAGGTCCTTCAACGGAAATGCACTCAAAATGGGTCTCTCAAAACACTTGCTGAACTCAGTTGGGCTAGGGCATCTTTAAGAAACCAACTTTCTGGGTCGCCTGGCTGGCTCAGTCAGTTAAGCGTCTGCCTTCAGCTCAGGTCATGGTCCCAGGGTCCCGGGATCGAGCCCTGCATCAGGCTCCCAGCTCAGTGGGGAGTTGCTTCTCCCTCTGCCCCTCACCCCACTCATGCTCTCTCTCAAATAAATGAGTAAAAATCTTTTTTTAAAAAAATAAATGAAAAAACAACTTTCTGCACTCAGACGATACTGTTACAGGACTGAATGTGGTTCATGCACTTTTAGGCACTGCTCTGCTGTGATGGGCACTGGCCTCTGGCGTTCCTCGGCCCCACAGGACTTCACAGAGTGACTCATGCTCTGGTTTCTAAAGAACTGATTTCTTTTTTTTTTTTTTTTTAAGATCTTATTTTTTATTTATTTGACAGAGACAGACACAGAGAGAGCACAAGCAGAGGAAGAGGAAGAAGCAGGCTTCCCGCCGAGCAGGGAGCCCGATGCGGGGCTCGATCCCAGGACCCTGGGATCATGACCTGAGCCGAAGGCAGACGCTTAACCACCTGAGCCACCCAGGCGCCCCAGAACTGATTTCTTTGAAGAAAACTGTCCTTCATATAAAATGTCATGACAGAGGATGGTTAAATTGAAAAAAGTCAGAATGACACAACCTTAATTGGGAAAATGACCAAGTGAGAATATGAAAAAAAAAATTAAGAAGGGAGAAGGAGGGGAGAGGAGGAAAAAGGCAGGGACAGAAGCGGAAGGAGAGGAAGCCAGTCTGTCGTGGGGCGTGCAGGGCAGAATGGGAACGTAGGGAGAGAGGTTCTAGCACTTACTGAATGTCCTCTGTGTGTTTGGAAGGGCAGATAGAGGTGTTAGGATAACAGTATTTCTAAAAGTCACAAGCAAGGTCATTTGACAGGAATTTTAAGACATGAGAACCACCAGGGGCACCTGTCTGGCTCAGTTGGTAGAGCATGTGACTCTTGATCTTGGGGTTGTGTGTTTGACCCTCACACTGGGTGTAGGTGTAGAGGTTACTTAAAAATAAAATCTTGAAGGAAAAAAAAGGTGGGGTGGTGGTGTCTGGGTGGCTCAGTCGGTTAAGCGTCTGCCTTTGGCTCAGGTCATGATCCCGGGGTCCTGGGATCGAGCCCCACATCGGGCTCCCTGCTCAGTGGGGAGTCTGCTTCTCCCTCTGCCTCTCCCTCTATCCCTCCCCCTCCTCGTGCTCTCGCTCTCAAATGAATAAATAATCTTTAAAAAAAAGAAAGAAAGAGAAAGAGAAAGAAAAAGAAAGGAAAAGAAAGGAAAAGAAAGGAAAAGAAAGAAAGAAAGAAAGAAAGAAAGAAAGACCACCAGGTTCCCCTAAAAATATAAGCCACCATTGGAAAAGACTATGAAGAGCCAAGATCAAGTCTGGGCTCCCCTGAGGCCTGTATTCCAACAGTAGAAATCTATAAGGACGATGACCTGCAAACGGAATGATCAGGAAATGGCCCTGAGCATCAGGACGTGAAGGCGGAGTTGGAAAAAAACCAGAGGTGAGAGTTTCCACCCACCACGCGCTTCCCTGACATTTCTGCGTGCACCCAACCCCGGTCCTTTGTTGCGTCCTGGATCACCCATCTGATAGCGTGGCACCAAGCACCAACAGCAAAGTTCACCCTGAACCTCACTGAGCCGGTTCTCTGCCAACTCATCAGATAGCCACATATGATAGCGAATCGGAGATTGTGCTAGGAAACGGAGAGGTTCAGTGGGGGAAGGAATGAGGAAGAAACATGGTATTCAGGACTGGGGCAGTCAGCTAGAACTCCTTTGCTAACTCGTCAGGCTACTTTGGCTTGATCCCCCTTCGAACACTGTCCAGCCTGGACCTGTTACGACAGAGGCCACATTCCTGTCTAGATTAGCAGTGTTTCCATTTTTATTTAGCCCAAGTTTACATGATTTTAGTACCTTCTGCTTCAAGGCAGAAAGCACTTAAGCTTAACTCTCAATAGCTTGGAATTGCAGCCAGAAATCCACAGTAAGTTCTGATCATTCTAAATGTTTGCTATGGAAAACCAAGGACGGCAAACAGTCTACAATGGGTCCATGGCCTGCCAGGTTTCGGAGCCCGTTGTGGGTGGAGGCCCATTTGGACACGTGCTCTCTCCCATGGAGAACCTCCCCACATGGCAGAGGGGAGAAAGGCAGCCTCTGGCCAGAGCAGGATGGATCATCCCACAGGTGGCATTTCAGGCCCTGCTGCTCTTCCTACAGGTGAAAAGTTTGAAAACCCCACATGGACCGGGGAGCAGAACCCAGCAGGAAAGATGAGGAGAGCTGGGAGCGACACAAGGGAAGCAGGCTTCGGAGGGGACTTGGAGGGCAGATGGGTTAGTGATGGAGACTTTGGGGGAGACAGACAGAATCAGAGGTTATTCTGACTGAGGCTGTGGAGACAACATGCCCAGAGTCAGAAACCGTAACTTAGCGGAAACTTCTGTAAATGAGAAACAGAAGCTATTTAGCTGATATTCGAGGAACCATGAAAGAAATATTTTCCATCTGAAATCTGGAGCAAATCTGGGGCCCAAGGAGGAAAGGATTGGCTACAGGAAAAGATCACATTCGCTTACCAGGGTGGGAGAAGCAGCGGAAAATGAAATAGAAAAGCTGCAGGGGAAAAAGCCTCATCATAAAAGTAAGCTACACTCTGTCGGGCTAAGTGACGGACTGTCTAGGGCTATTTTTAAGAACTCCTGGGAGAGTTGAGTAGGTGCGACAGAGAGCGCGCCGCACACAGAGCCTAAGTTACTGTCCGGCCCTGGCCCCTGGTCAGAGAGCCTCGGAGCTGCCCAGATTCTGCTATTTGCTGCATGTATGACAGGCCCCTGACAGCCAACAGAGCCCACACCATCTCACGGTCACAAATGACTGAGCAAAAGGTATGGTAGCGCCAAGCTTCCTGGGTGCAGGAACAAGCAAATTCTTCCATATGCAACTCCCTTCTAAAAGTCAACGCTAACCAACGCTTGCCATATCCCAGGCAGACCTGGTCAGGTAGGTCGAGCAGCCCTGCATGCTGAGGACGCCGTGTGCTTGTCCGAGCCCAGGACTGTTCTCCCAGCTGTATCCTCAGAGAGGGGAGACACCTCCTGGAACACCTACCACGGGCCAGCCGGCCTTTGCACCTGTCGCCGCTGCCCCGTGGGGGCTGACACGGACAGGACCCAGTGTCCAGTCCCAGGAAGGTTACCTTTTCGGAGGGTCTCCCGGGTTTCCTCAGCTTCTCTGTTGACTCGGTTCTGTTCTGGTTCGAACGCAGGCCCCTGGTCGTCAAGCTCATCTTCCGTTTCATCATCACTGTAGGGAACCACTTCGTCATTAGGCTGAGAATCCTCCTCAAAGGTCGTTTCTGAGTCTCTTTCTGAATTCATGCTGCTGGCAAACTGGAACCACCTGGTTTAGAAGAAAGAAAAACCAGCGTGACTTATGATCTGTGCCCAGTGTTTGGCTGAATTCTGCCTTCATCCTGTTACGGTGCCCTTTTAACAGAACACTATCTCACTCACGAACAAGGATGTCTGAAGAGCGACCCACAAGTTCAAATTATCATGCAACTAAGAACAAAACCATTCAGGGGCGCCTGGGTGGCTCAGTTGTTAAGCGTCTGCCTTCAGCTCAGGTCATGATCCCAGGGTCCCGGGATCGAGCCCCACATCGGGCTCTCTGCTCAGCGGGAAGCCTGCTTCTTCCTCTCCCACTCCCCCTGCTTGTGTTCCCTCTCTCCTGTCTCTCTCTCTCTCTGTCAAATAAATAAATAAATAAATAAATAAATAAATAAATAATCTTAAAAAAAAAGAACAAAACCATTCATTAGTGATTAAATGTTTTGGTGAGAATTAACAACAGCAAAAATGTAGCTGCAAACTCTTTTTCTTAGAGCACACACAAACTTTAAGGTAGTATTTCAAATTGGGGGTCTCTACCCAGCAAAATAAAGTGAATCCATAACCAACCTTACAATAAAATGAAACAGCTGATAAAATATCAGAGTACAGCATGTGTCGTGAGACTTAGTACTGTTTGCTGAAACCCCTTGACAAAACCACATAGACACATTTGTTTGCATTGTGGATCTTAATGCAATTGCATCTCTCACTGCGGGTTGCTGGCAACGTTTGGGAAACCCTGCCGTAGGATACCCCGTTTCTGCTAAGGCTGATATTCTGAGACTTTACTCTGTGATACATTTTAAATACAAGCTTAGGCCCTCACACTTTACTAAGAACTTCCTGGGAACACTCCCTCACCTCCCTTCCCAACTACCCCCACCCACACCCTGTCGACTTTGGGTTTGTGTGCACACCCCTGTTTAAAGTGACTGCAGAAGGGACAAGCACAACCTCAGTTACAGTAGGAAAATATTTACACAAGGGCCACAGGTTGCATGAAGACAGACATACAGCCTGGCATTATTTACAAAAACATCACACTGCCCTGTACTTGACATTGTTAATAGCAGCAGCTCAAGGGCGCCTGGGTGGCTCAGATGGTTAAGCATCTGCCTTCGGCTCAGGTCATGATCCCAGACTCCTGGGATGGGGTCCCGCATCGGGCTCCCTGCTCCTTGGGAGCCTGCTTCTCCCTCTGCCTCTCTCTCTCTCTGTCTCTGTCTCTCATGAATAAATAAATAAAATCTTAAAAAAAAAAAATAATAGCAGCTCAAATTTACTCAGTGGTAACTGCACCCCAGGCCCTGCACAAAATGCTTTAGAGGCATTGGCTCCTCGAAATTTCCCACACCACCCTGTTGAAGGTTTTATTGTCATTCCTACTCTAAAGAAGAAAACCAAAACTCCTTGAATAACTTGCACAGTAATTTTCCAGCAAAGGGCCATCTGGCTGGTTGAATCAGTAGAGCATGCAACTCTTGATCTCGGGGTCATGAGTTCAAGGTTGGGTGTCTAGCTTACTTTCAAAAAAATTTGCAGCAAAAACAATTGCTTTCCTAGGAGAGACCTTCTATCTTCTACTTTTATGTTATAGTTTCTTATATGTTTTAGTCAAGTCTTAGTTGCCTTGAGTGGAACCACTTGGCTGATGGCATGCTTTGCATCAAATCTAGCATCTTAGACATCTAAGTTTGTATAGCCATAGCGGAACATGTAGGAAATGTGTAAATATTTATAGGAGGGTTTTTCCAGCATCATTTAAAACAGTAAATCCCAGAAGCAACCTGGGTATCCAATGACTGGTAACTGTAGATAAATTGTGATATCCTCCTAATATGGGAGAGTGCACAATTTAGAACATGATCAGAAGACTTTTTTAAAATATTTATTTATTAGAGAGAGAGAGATTGCATGCGAGCAGGAGGGGCAGAGGGAGAGGGAAAGAGAATCTCAAGCATACTCTGCGCTGATTGCAGAAGCGAACACAGGGCTCAATCACACAACCCTGAGATCACGACCTGAGCGGAAACCAGCTTAACCAACTGCGCCACTTAGGCGCGCCAATAAGAAGAGTTTTTAATGACATTGCAAAAGTCCAAACATGTTGAGTTAAAAGGTGGGTTAACAATCCGTATGTACAAAATAGTCCCAGTTATTCAGTCATTTATTCATTTTCCAAAATGTAAACAATTGCCATGCATCATTTAAGTGAAATGATGCATGCAGAGTGCTCGATTCAGTATTTAGCCTCCAGTAAATACTCAATACAGTCCTTACAGTGCAGTAAGTATGCAAATGTGAAGTCATTGTTACTGACGATTTCCCTATAATTAAGAAAAATGTTATTTATAATAACAAATGGAACGGTGTGGGGATTTATCCCTTTTAGGCTTTTCCATCTCCCGAAATCTCTTCTAAAATGTACCTGCCCCTCACCAGGAGGTAAAATACTAGACTAGTATATGACTACACTTAAGCATATGCATATTCCATTTTAAAACCTTTTTTTAAAGATTTATTTATTTATTTGACAGAGAGACACACAGTGAGAGAGGGAACACAAGCAGGGGCAGTGGGAGAGGGAGAAGCAGGCTTCCCGCTGAGCAGGGAGCCCGATGTGGGGCTCGATCCCAGGACCCTGGGATCGTGACCTGAGCCGAAGGCAGGCGCTTAACCGACTGAGCCACCCAAGCGCCCCTGTTTTAAAACATTTTAATTGCAGAGTAGAACATTTTCCTGCTTTCCCAATTTTCTGTGGGCTAGTAAATAACTATTTCTTCGGGTTTTATATATGTTTCATAGGCGTTATTTGTGGTTTTGTAATATACTGCCACCCATGCTTTAGCTGATATTTAAATTTAATGCACTCTCTTTAAAATTCCCAAACCCTTAAAGGCAAAACTTGCACCAGCAATCTTTCAGAACAAAAGTAATGAAAGTGGTTACCATTTACTGAGCACCTGCAATGTGTCAAGCAGGACCACCCCGTGAGATAGATAATATTCTCCCATCTTACAGATAAGGGCACTGAGGCTCAGCTGCTAAGTGGCAGGAGTTAGGACCTAAATCTCTCTGTCATAGGGACATATACAACATTAACAAGTCTGAAAGCACCACATAGATTTTTTCATTACAGTACATAACATAAAATGAGCCACTTTAACCATTTTTGGGTGTCCACGGCAGGAGCATTAAGTGATCAGTAAGAGATCATTTCCTCATCATGATGATTGCCAAGTGTCTCCATGCTCATTTCCCACATTAAGAATGGATCCAGTCCTTCGAGGCCGAGGGAGGAGCAGACTGAGAGGAATGGCTTTGGCAACCACGAGGATGTGATCCAGAGTAAGCAAGGCATTGCATAACCAGCCAGCTCAGCACAGGAACATCCACCCTGGGCCGGACTGTGTGGGCCGCTTGGAAAGCGGAGCTCTGAGCTGAGCGGAAGTTCTCTGCAGAGAGAGAGAGAGAGAGAGAGAGAGTGTGTGTGTGTGCGTGTGTGTGTGTGTAATGCAGGCATATGGGAATCATTTAGTTCATCATCTTAGCACTACCAAAGAAAAATTAGGAAGAAATCCTTTCTTTGAAGGCCAGAGTGACATAAGCAGCTTTCTGGGTCGAAACCATGACACCTGTGAGGCAAGCACTATGTGGACTATGGATTTGGAAGCGTTGTCCCGTCTCTCACCACCCCTGTAGCACACTGCAGCCATGCGTGTGCTTCCTCAACCTTCATTAAGCACCTGCTCAGTGCAGACCACCACACCAGGCACCGGAAACAGACCCCCTGGAGACATCCAGGGTATTTAGGGGTACAGGTGAGTAAACCGGCCATGAGAGCCACGAGACACAGCAAGGCCGATCATTCCTGCTGAAACACACACCTCCAATCCATCCCCTCGTCTCCCGCCCTGTGGCCGCTACCCTACTTCAGACCACCATCATGTCTCTCCAGCAATGCTACAGGTGGACATTAACTGGACTTCCCGCGATCAGCTTCCACACGGCCCCCAGAGTCATGCCACTCTCCCGCTTAGACCCTTCCTAGGTGTTCTGGACAGAGTGGTGCCCCCTTAAAAAAAAAAAAAAATCACAGGTTGAAGCCCCAACCCCCAGTGTGACTGTGTGTGGAGATAGGGCCTTTAAGGAGGTCATTAAGGCTAAGTAATTTTGTAAGGGCGGGACCCTATTCTGACAGGTCTGGTGTCCTTATAAGACGAGTAAGAGACATCAGAGACCTCTCTTTCCATGCGTGCACAGAGGAAAGGCCACACCAAGATGGCGGCCATCTACAAGCCAAGAAGAGAGGCCTCACCAGAAACCAACCCGGATGGCACCTCAATCTTGGACTTCTAGCTTTTGGAAATGTGAGAAAATAAATGTCTGTGGTTAAAGCCACCCAGCCTGTGGTATTTTGCTATGGCAGTCCAAGCAGACTGTGGCCTCCCACTCTAAACTAAATCCACACTTTCCCCCAAGTCTGAGAGTTCTGCACACTTCTACTACTTCCTTCTTGCTCACTAATCCTCAGCCCCATGGCCTTGCTTTCCACTTAAGCCAGTGAAGCCTTTCCTGCCTCAGACCCTTTGGACATGCTCTTCCTACTGCCTGAAATGCTCCTCTCCCAGTTCTCTGCATGGCTACTATTTCTCATTCTTTAGATCTCAACTTCAATATCCACTTCCACGGATGGTGTTGAACAGGTATCTGCCCTCTTCTTCCTGCTACCACTAACCTCCCCAACACTTACCTCTCTTTCTTCCTGGTACTTACCACAATTTTTAAATGTATTTTCACTTTTACTTATCTGTCATCTGCCTCTCCCACTAGACCCCGAGCTGTACAAGAACAGAGTCCCATCTGTGAATACTCAGTGCCTACTGTCTACTTGCCACACAAAGATCTGGGGAAAAAACAAATGAACTTTCAAAGGAGTATGCTCAAAGATATCTTTGCCATCTCCCCACAGTTCCTACCTACCACACAGTGAAAGACTTCAAGTAG